GCATTTCCAAATAGGGTGTTCTTTACTTTGCGATTTCCCTCTGGGTTGTTCAAAGTGGGGGAACCTTGATTCTTGCCTCCATGTTCTGTAGTGGGACACCACAAGCGATATCAGGCATTGATTGTGGACATCCCAGATACAGTAGGGTGGAGCTTGCACCAGGATCGAAAACTGCAGCTTCATTTGCTTGTGTGCTTGTGTTTTAGGGGACCTGAAATTGCGTGTTTTGCGTTCGGGTTCCCTTCAGACCACAAACAAAGGTGCTGAGCCTCAAGAAAGCACGCTCCCACGTAGGTTGTTCAAACATAAATCTACAAGTCTATAAATCTGTAAAAAAAAAAGAAGAAAAACCACTGCCAAACAAGCGATGTTTAAAACCACCAACAAGGGGGCATATGGTGAAGCTTCCCCATTTTGGGATTACTGCCTGCCTGAAGTCGCTCGCCTAATTCAAGGGATCTTCTCGCAACAAGCACTGCAGAGACAGTTCGGGAGAACTCACCAAAAAGCAAGCAATCATGTGGCCAAATTCAACCACGGCCTCACAAAAAGACTGTATTGTGCGACCTGGAATGCCAAATTGAATCTCACAGAACCGGAGTTCCATCAACTGGCAAAACTCGACCGAGTCCTCCTTGCGGGAAAAGGCTTCAGCTTCCTCCTGGTCTCGCTTGGCCATACGACAAGGGACTCACTTGACGCCTTGACCCCTCCCAACATGCGTTGCTTCAACCGAAGGCGGCAAAGTTGGAGGGTCTCCTGGTTTTTGTGGTTGGAAGTTTGGAAGAGCCCCACAGATCCCATGGAACGTGGACAGGAGCTTTTGACCCAACCTCCTTCAGAGAAGCCCAGTCAAAGGTTTCGCTGTCATGAGTCGACCAGATGGACAGACATTCCAAGAGGACTGTCCCACAAACCTACTGTCAGCTATAGTTGGGAAGAGGGCGACCTCTTGGACCCAGGACGAAAGGGAAAGCCAAAGGGCCTGTCAAAATGGATTTGGGCACCCGAAATGGTGGTTTTCCTCTTGATGTCCCTTGGCGCCAAACTTAAAAGGGGGTCTCCCCCACAAGTTTCAGGCCGATTCGCTTTGGGCAAGTGCACCTCGGGGCCCTTGCAGCGAAAGACGTGACTGTGGGAGCCACCTTGGACCGCTATCCAAAAAAACTCTAGGAGTGGTTGGGGTGAGGGTGGTCCTGTGCCCTTTTGGGCTTGGGTGAGGGCCCGCCATCCACTAATAGAAGCAAACAACCAGCAGAAACAAAATGACATGGCGCATGAGCACAGTGCCTCGTGCAGTGATTGTGGCTGGAACTTGGCGTATCCCCCATGTCTCGAACCAATTGAATCTTGCCCGAGCTAATCTTCCCACGAACAGATTTGCATATGGGTGCTTGAGGAAACCAAAATAGCACGGGACTTTAACGGGGGGGGGGAGGCGATCCAACCGACCTCAGACTGTCAGATCTTCGCAACCCTCACATACCAGCCAACATAAGAAACATTTCTTGCTGGTTTGCATTCACAAGAACCAGTAATGAACGGCACGCACACACACACACACAATACGCCGCCACTTCATTTCCAAACGCCACCCCCCAAACGGGACCCTCAAAAACAATACTCGCATTCTTGCAAGGCCAAAACTATTAGGATGGGGTTGGAGGTACTTCAAACCAACTCTGACCCCTCATACCCAGTGACCAGGCTCGCTTCATGGCGTTCAACTTTTCGGACTCCCCCGAAAGGAATTCATTGGTCCAGGGTTCCATGCTTTTGATCTCCTCAAGGTAGATTTATACCCAGCTTGATTCTTTCAAGAAGGGCCCATTCCTGGACTTACTTTTGTTTTGATGGCGGGGGACCCTATGGTGTTTGTCTGTTCTTTTGGCTTCCCGAGCCAAGCTGAAGAGGAAAACCTCAACGAACACGTCCACTTCGGTGGCAGACTTCAGCCAGACTCAAAACATGTTGATTGGTGGAATCTCCATGCTTTTGGTTGATCCCAGGTCTCAACCAAGGGAAAACAAAAAAACACTGGCAGGTGGAATCTCCACATAGACTTGTTTTTTTGTCCATGATTCACTTGGAATCTCGACGAACGGAAAACAAAAACGTGGGCAGGCGGATTACTCACCAAAACCGGTTTAATTAACAAAAGGAACAAACAAAAACACGTCGATTCGGGGATCCCTCGCTCACGGCCTGCAATCGGAGCTTCTCTCGCTGCGCCTTCTCGGTGTCTTCCTGGCCGAGAGTTTTGTGCAAGGCAGCTCCCTGGAGTGCCATGGCACTTCCTCGGTGTCTGTGACTCTGTGAACCCGCTTTCGTTTCACGAGGTCTTGCCCAACAGCAAAGAGGCAACTCTCGTGTTGAAGGGTTTGAGGATGGACCCAGAATCCACAAGACGAGCCAGACAATTCCAACACGGCATTGAATCAACAATGGCAATTCGGAGGAGTCTCATTTTGGGAACTGGTCTTTGAACTAGTTTGAAACATATCACTTCTTGAAAAAAAAAAAAAACATGCGTCCTCTTGCGCCCCGAAGCAACGGTGTCATACGAAGCACCGCGCGCGCGCGCTTGGAGGTTCGCTTCGGATCGGTCGCCTGCAGCTTCGCGGCCTCCAGCTCGAAGGCTTGCCTGGCCTGCGCCAGGCGCGCCTGGCAGCGCAAAGGGGGAAGAGGCAACTGGGGGAAGCGATGGGTACCCTCACCAACTTATATGGGTGTGGCTCAAAATTAAAGAGGGGCAAAAGGTTTTGGTCCATGTTTCCACTTACCAGGGCAAGCCATTTTGGTACCGGTTTTTTGAGCCCCAGCCATATGATGGAAGTGCCAAAAGGGGTCTGTGCACTTCCATGTTAGGTGGGAGGGTCACGTTGACCCCATAATCCCCAATCTCCAGGTCCTTCAGTAGCGAGCTTAGAATAAGGGTACCCTTTTTTTCTGTAGTCTAGTTTAGTAGGGGAACCCTCCCCCAAAAAAGGGGTAAAAGGGCACTACTGAGCGACCTAGATATACTCTGGGGGGGTTCCCCTCCAAAAGTGATGATCCCCAATATTCATCAACAGTTTTGTTTTTTTTGGGGGGGCGGGTGGTCTGATTCCCCACACCCAGTTGGACACCCGCCTCTCAAAAACTAGTTAATTCATATGGGGTCAACATTAGGGGCCAAATCGAAAGTAGAGTGGAATTGGGCAATCCCTCAGCCTCCAGAACTTACATAGTTCTTGTTTCTTGCAAAGATGTAACATGCGAACAATTACAAGGTGGGGCACCCACACAGCAAAGACGGTATATCAGGCCCTGTCACGGCTGTTCCCAAAGAAACGCTGAAAAAAGGAACCTTGCTCAAAGTCAACTTCCAGATTGGTTCAGCTTCTTGAAGTAACCTGGAAACGGGCCTTTTGGGGACATCAAAAGAGAAAAAACACCCCATCTTGACGCGCAGCTGTCTACATCTACCGCTGGGCATCGGGGGCCGTAAGCGCTCAAGAAAGAGAGAGGACCTGATCTCCACAAAAAAGGCTGGACCTTTTTGTGTCTTTTTGAGGTAACTTTTTTGAAGTGGTGTTGAAGGAAAACTAGAGGACCGCCATTTGGGAGGTTTTATTTATTCTGAGACGCACCCTCTTAGACTTCCAAGAGAGTTGTGAAATTCTGCTTTGCCCCAACTAATAACCAGCACGCCCCCAACGAAAAGCCAACTCAGAGCTGCTTCACTCTGCCAGCGTTTTCCGCACAATGACCGGCTCGCGGCCCAGGTGCGTCGCCTCTTGTAACTTGAGCGCTCAAAACCAGTTGACGTTCGGTTCTAATATTGTGGATGGACGAAATCCCCCCGCATCAGCGTTCAAAAAACCCGCTTCAAATGTGTTCCCTGTAAATATCAACAAACAATGGTCTCAACATGTCTCAACCATGGTTTCAAAGTGGTGCGAAATGCATATCGTGCAGGTGCAGTATGGTTGTAAAGGTTCAAATAGCCCTTGCCGTCCAAACTTTAAACACCGGCGGTTGAGCTGCCCTCCAATATTGAAAATCACGGCGAAACAATAATAAGTCACAACCAGGAACGTCCATAGCACTCCAAAATGCTACTGTATGAGTACGGCTCTTGATTCCGCTGTGTGACGGTGCAAATAAACAAGATGTGTATGTAAAGCTTCTGTCAAGTTTGTCTTTTCTGGCCACTTTGGCGACTGATGTGAGGCCAATGTAGCCAGAGATGTGGTCTGATCAGCCAAATAGAAACGAGCCTAGAGGCAGCCAGGATTCTAAGATGGGTGAATTGCCCCCACAGCATTTGACATGGCCAAGAGACATCGGTTTTTGGGCGCTGCGCACGCTTGCCACGCATGGCAAATTGCTGGAGACAGATTCAAGCACTCAGCTACTTGCAAGAGACTCTGTGCAACGGCAAGCAGCTGAACGGTGGATTTAAACTTGCATGCGAATTAGCTGCGGAGCTCCTGGGAGAAACATAAGGTTCCCTCTCATCATTTCCCTCAGGATATGCCCCCCCCCCGAACCTTCTCTTGGGTAAACCTGAAATAAGAAATCCGCAAGGGGACATTTGCAGAGTTTTCTCTTTTGCCCCGTCACTCGGATTGATTTCGCATGATTTCGCCATTCACGAATTCTCGGTGGGGATAAAAGCTGCGTGAAAAAATACGAAGGCCCTAATCGGCATGGGAAATTAACGGAGCCTGTCCCCAAACAAATCCGGAAACTTCGACTGAACCTCATGCGCGCCATGGTCAAACTCCTTTTGTGGGCCAGGGCCATTGCTCCCGAGGCAACGGTTCTCTTAATTCCCATTGAAGAAGCCATGGCCCCAGTCATCCCAAGTTACTGGCTGTGGGTCCCAAAATGGCTTGCCCTGGTAAATGGAACCAAAGACTAAAACATGCGGTCCAATTCCTGGTGTTTTTTTTTTGGACTCATACCTTGGGACTTTTGACCATGGCACATCTTCTGGAAAAGGGACGCTGTTCTTAATGCGCTGGTTCCGGACTTCTCCTAGGCCGCTTTGAATCGGGCTCAGATTCTTCACCGCCCGAAGGCTCAGCGTGAGGTTGCTCAAGTTGAGGTTCCTCACGTCCAGCATCTGCATCAGGTTGAGTATCTGCATCGGGTTCAGCATCTGCAGGCTCAACCTCAGCTTTAGCCAGGTGCAAAAAGCCAGATGCGGAAGTTGGGACAAAAAAGGAAAGAAGACATCAACCAGTTGCATGAAAAGCGGGAAGAAAAGGAGAACCAATCTTATTGAGGGGTCACGTCCTTTGCCAAAGTTGAGCAAGAAACCAGGGTGTTTCAAGGAGCATAAGTGACCTTTCGGAGAAACAAAACGACGGATGCCCCTGACGAACAGGGCATGAAGCCCATCTAAACCAGTAGAACCCATCTATATGTCTAACCAAACTAAGCGATGGAAAGGACGGCAACTGATGGACGAAACCCATATCGCCCCACTTTAAAGCCATGGTTGACACCTTTGCCTTTGTATTTACATGGGGGAATCGAATCATTCCAGGGCTTCTTGGCTTGGCTGGAAGTAGGACCCCAGCAAAAAACAAAGATATATTTCATGCCTGGTTCGTTGAAAACAAAGTGAACCCAACAAATCACAAAACAACAACAAAAGGGGAGCGAATTCTGGGGAAGTTGGGTGCGAACTGCCCTTGTTTCAACCGCCAGCCTCCGCATCCTCTATGCCCAACAGCCTGGCCGCCGCTTCATCCGGCCCGGCCTGGGCGAATTGAATCTCACTCGCCCCAAGTCTTGGAGTGCCTGGAGTGAACCCCGAACACCCGAAACAAAAAAAAGGAAAAACAAAAAAAGCGCGATGTTGGGTAAATACATTGCCGCCATCAAAGGATCCACTGCCACCTGATGTTGGGGGTGGAAACACCGAAAAGCGAGAAGGGCAAGCCTCATGTTGAAATTCAAGGTCCAAATTGTCCGTTGAAGGTTGCAGAAAATGGTTGCAAAGGCAATGAGCTGTGGCCAGCTGACGCTCACTGCCATAATTTGAAATCAGGCCCAAAAACAAAGCGCAACAAAAAAACAACAACGCAAATGCTCACAACTGCCAAGTTCCCCCCTGCAAACAAGTGGAAAAACAAGCTAACTGGAAATCAGGCCCTAAACAAAACGACCAGAAAACACAATGCAAACACCCGCAACTGCCAACTTCTTTCTGGGCCAACCTTCCCCCCCCCCCCCCCGAAAAACATCTAATTGGATAAGCATGACAAGAATGCACAACACAAACGCTCAGACCTGCCAACTGCCTTCTTGGCCAACCCCCCACCCCTCTACGCAAGAACTATATCTAGCCCACTGAAAGTATCAAATTGAATGAACAAGTTCGCTTGAAAAACGGCCAAACAAAAACACAACAAGAAAACACAAAGCAACTGCTCAAATCTGCCAACTCCCCCCCCCCCCCCGCCAAATGTACATCTAACCCACTGAAAGTATCAAACTGAATAAACAAGTTCACTTCAAATCAGGCCAACAAAAACATACGGCAAGAAAGCACAATTCAATGGCTCACAACTGCCAACTTCCTTCTGGGCCGACCCTCTCTTCCACGGCCAAGCAAAAAAGTATGTCTGGAAGTATCAAACTGGAGAAACATGTTCACTTGAAATCAGGACAACAAACGCGCAAGAAACTACAACACACGCGCTCACACTTGCCAACCCTCCCACCCCCCCTGCCGGCAAAAAGCATTGTCTAACCCCACTGAAAGCATCAAAATGGATAACCAAAACAACTTGAGACCAAATGAACTCAGGCCAACAAACAAACCCCGAACCCTCAAACTACCCTTGAAAAAGGAGAACATCGCTCATCATTTTGAGCCCCCCCACTTTTTTGAGTGGATTTTCAGTGCGAGTTGCGCATTGGCGCAAGACCTCCTGGCACCGTTCCAACGGCTGCCCTGTCAGCTCCACCAGCCTTCTGAGCGCAGTCGCCTCGCGCCCAATGTCCGTGAGGTTCGCGTCGGTGAACGCCTCCTGGGAAAATCAGAGCCTTGCCGAGGAAACCTCCTGACAACCTCCTTAAGCCTCCTGAAAGCCTCAACACTTTAGGGCACCGAATCTTTTGAGAAACTCTCATGACAATTCACTTTTGGACTTAGGGAAACCAAACTTGGTTGCTTTCTGCTCCCCTGCTAAAAGTTTAACTTTTAGTGGTTTAATGGAAAACCCATTAGTTGGCAAAAAGTTAAAGTCCCAACATCCAAGAAAAATGCAGCAAAGCAAAACACTGAAGCCAACCATCTTTCAGAGACCCCTAAAAGCAAAAACGCCAAAATCCAACCCGCTGGATCTCCGACTGGCACTCCAGGCGGAAATTCCGCTCTCTAGGTGTCCTTTTAGGGTAAATAGATGGCCCTGGTAGATGATTAACCATCAGGTAAACCAGGAATCGCCATCGATTTTTCTACCAAAACAACCATCTTTAGGGGACCCCTTACACAAAAAGGGAAAACAAACGCCTGGATCTCCGAATGTCACTCTCCTTGGGCGTGCGGGGTGCAGGGTCCAGGTCCGGCGGCGGCGGTCTGCGCGGCGAGGAGACCTCCTCCCCAGCCTCGCGGGTCGCGGGGTTTCGGCCGGAAGTGAACCGGAGGTCAGATCGGTCTGGCCTGCCCGTTTTCAGATCCCCCGCTAAAAGCGACTAACTTTTAGTGGGCTAAATGGAAACTACTAACACTAAAAGGATCTAAAAAGCTAGGGGATGGCTGGGAGCCACCAAGTGGTGGTTGGGTCGGTGGTTTGGTGGGGCAATGAATGGTTTGGTGGCCCAAAGTGGAGGTTTGGTGGGATAATTTGTGTTTGGATTGGTGGTTTGGTGCCATGGAGGGGTTTCCAAAGGTTGAACTCAGTGGAACGAGTGTCCCTTAACCTTCATTTACCCGGGTTTTGATTGTGGCTCAATCGGTGCGTGGATTGGCGATTTGGTGGTGCAATGAATGGTTGGGTGATCCAATTGGTGGTTTGGTAGTCATAATACAAACCGATCGGTATTAAAATGATCGACCCAGAACCATGTAAAGAATTAAGAAGGCGGCCGCAGCTATTGCTGGTTGGGGTTGTCCCATCCTAACCTTCATCTACCCGGGATTTGATTGTGGCTCAATTGGTGGTGCCATGGAGGGGTTTCCAAAGGTTGAACTAAGTGGAATGAACAAATGAACAGTGGAATGAATGGACAAGTGGAATGAACAATCTCCATCTAATCGCGGTTGGACTTCCCAAAGGCAGGAACCACGCAACGGGTGGTTCAGGCACTCCGGGAAAATACACCCCAGTAATGTGCTGGTGCGAAATCGGTAGGGTATGAGAAATGGAATAAACCGGTTCTGGGGATTCTAGGGGTCATTCCATTTCTCATTCCCTGCTGAGCACCAGCAAATGCAAAACCTCCATTCCACTTTGAACCTCCCCCAAAACCCGGGTTTCACTTGTTCAGGAATGGGGATGTATTTTGTTCTTGACACTTTGGGTAATTACTCCAAAAGAAACATGTGAAGATGTTTCATATTGAGGTTCCTCAAAATCTTAACAAGTTCTCCGACAAATGGGCTACACGGGTAGAGTCTCGAACCAATCTGAAACCACTGGAACCCCTCTATATTCCACCAAACCGGCCGCAAGGCCGACGCACGTCTCGGTGCATTTTGTGCTGACCGGTGCCCTTGCCACGACTTGACATGCCGCGCCTGTGGACCTCCAGGGACTATAATGGGGGGGGTTGAGTTGGGACCCTTGAAAGAGGAAACCCATCTCCACCTTCCAAGGGGCTTTTCATGGGGGGGTTGAAATACAAAAAGAAGAGAGTCATTGCAGCCAAACGGAGAGGCACCTGGCTTTTTTGTGCTTGGGAAGGCGAGTGCGGCCTTTGCAAGCCGGTTCACCGGGCCGAATGATTCGGACATGGCAAGGCGTACAGTTGCTGAAACATCTACCTGGACAAATCATTGTGTAACTGCCCTTTTGGCTTCCGGTTCAACTGCGTGAAAAAGGGCAGCATCGAAAACCCCCCTAACTTTTTTTTTTTTTTTTTTAAATAGAACACCACACCCAAAATATGGTTTTCCATCCACAGCAGTTTGAATCACCAAATTTGACACGGCGACATTTAAGTAAATCTTAATCGACTGGAAGAAACTCCATTTATAACCCGCTCCAACATTTTGTTGTCCTGGTCGGTTTGATCAAACTAACTCCAAAATATATGCCGCCCAAAACCTATTCCAGCGTTCTCGTCAGGGAATGAGAAATGGACTGCCCATCGAATGACCTATATATATATATATATATGTATACACCGTATACTATATATATACATATACCATCCCCTATGGTTTCCCTTAAGAAAACCCCAAAACCAGTTCATTTCCCAACCACCCGGAAACTCAGGGAAGGTCATTTCCTACCCCGCCTCAGCGATACGAAAACTCGGTTGCTTTCTGCTCCCCTGCTAAAAGTTTTCAACTTTTAGTGGTTTAATACGGAAACCCCATTAGTTGGATCAAAAAGTAAAGGTCCTAACCTCCCTTGGCAAAATACAAAGAACATGTCGTCTCATATATACCATCCCCTATGGCTTTCCCCTTAAGGGAAGCCCGAAAACCTGCTACCCCGCCGCGATACGAAAATCACGGCCTCCTCCGTGAGCAAGACCTCCGCAGCGGCGTCCATCTCCTGGTACTGGCGCAGCGCGGCGCGGCAGTCCTCCTCCGAGCGCCCGGTGCACGCCGCGAGCTGCGCCACCTTCGAAGCCTCCGCAGCGTCGCCCGGAGCCTCCGCCTCCGACCCAGCTCCGGGAAAGGCGGTTCCCGGGGCGTCCGCCTCCTGGCCGAAAATCCGGTTGGGCGGTTTTTGGGCGGTTTGGGGGGGGGGGGGGTGGTGTGAGGTGAAGGGGTGAAGGGCGGGACTGTTCGGGCATGGCCCTTCCAAGCTTCAGGTAGCCCTTGGAGTTTGGATTTGTCCCGGTTCGTCAATACAAGGGAAGCCCCCGGAACATATTCAGAATAGGTTACTCTCAGACGAATTGATTCTAGTGCCCCATTGATTCTAGTGACCTTTCAAGAGATCCTTCCATGTTCACCTTCAAAAGGAACGTCCCCAGAAAACCTCGTTTGAAGGTCGTTGAGGGATCCCGTGTTTTGGGCAACCGGCTGCTTGGGCCCACGAACCAACAGGTGAAACAGAGGTCAACAAATTGGGAGTCGCAACAACTCGGGCGTAAGCAACAAAACACAACTGTCCACAATTTACGCCCACTAAGTCCTTCTGGTCCGTAACAACCGGGTCCCGTTTGCCATTGCTCCGAACAATTCCAGCCCAAGGGGGTGTTGAAGGAATCCCTAGGTTCTTCTCAATATCCAGATGCCCTATCGAACCAGCGAGTTCAAGTCTGATTGTTGTCTGAGAAATGTTTGGTGTCACCTTTTGGTGGCCCGGCTATTGTTAACCAAAACCGACCAAAACCCCCAACCCAAACCACTCAGCCCTGACCACAACACCTCTAAACAAAACACCCCTACAAGAACCAGGGGTTCAACTCCAAATCCAAACCACACATGAGGTTCTTCCCTTGCTCGAGTCCCCTGGAAAAGAACAAAACACTATTTCCAGTGGTGCTAGATTCCCTTAAAACCAATAGAGGAGAAAATCGGAAAAACATGTCATTTCAGCAAATGGCAGGCTTCCCTACCTATCAATTCCAAATCCCAAATCACCACTCCAAAGGCACCAAGACTTGGATAAGGTTTCCCCGGGCTCCCAACCACTCCAAAGGCACCTCTAGAGATGATTAAAACAAAAAACAAAAAACAACTAGGCTCCACCCGTCCCCTCCGCACGTCGCGTCCCCCGCGCGCCCGAAGCCACCGCCCGGTCGACCCGGTCCTCCTCCTCATCCTCCAGCAGCTTGGCCGCCGCGGCCTCGAGGCGCGCCACGCCGCTGCCGCTGCAGCTCATCAGCGCCGCCAGGCACCGGTCCTCGCGTCGCTTTGCGGCTCGCGGGACGTGCGGCCCGGCTCTCGGCCAAGTCGGGGCCCCAGGCGGCCGGTGGAGCGGTTTTTTTTTACCGGGTGGCTTGGGACGAACCCCCCCTCTTGGTGGCTTGGATTGGAGGTAACCTCTTTTTTTTGATGGGTTGTAAGGGTCCCTATATTCGGGACTAAGCCCACTTTCCCCGGAAATGTTTAAGACCTAAGTTGGTTGAACACGCAAGGTATGACTTAGGTTGTGATGCGAGAGGGGACGAACCAAATAGTGGCATCCAGCTTGGAGCTCCCCGAACGTTGCGAGTGGTTAAGACCTACTAAGTTGGTTGAACAGCCAAGTGGGTATGATGTATGGTATAGTTTGCATACCCGAATGCTTGTGGCTCGGGAATGGTTGTTTTTAGGTCCCAAACCCTCCCAATGGAGATCCAGACCCCTCCAACAACGGAGGGGGGGGAACACTGTGGGTCACTTTGGGTATACTACGTTGGTGTTGCACTTGAAGAGCAGGCGTAGCACGACTTCACAAGTGACTGGGGTTTGCTAGTTAAAAAGCGAACCCGCAAGGCTAGAAGGCGGGTTTTGGACATCTGAGGTATGGGTGCACGGATTCAGGTGATTGGCAAAACTCCCAAGACGTGAGTCATGCTCAATGGCAGCCGACTACTTTGAGCCGTGTACCTTTTCTTCTGGCCAAGTTTGTGTCGCCCTCACCAGCCTCCAAATTGTTTTGCGGGTTGTCAATATACGGGCCTGTAGCTGGGTCAGAAAACAATCCAGGTATATGTGGGTGCCTGGTTAATGCCGGCAAACACTTTAAGGGGACCATACTCTAAACTAAACGAATAGTATAAACGAATACTCAGCAGAGAGGACTGGACAGAATCTACTCAACAAACCACATCGATACTACACACTTATTTCCAAGACTAACTCAAAGGCTGCTGCAAGCGGGGGTTAAATCTGACCCCTCAAATGTCTTAGCAGTTTCCTGTGTTCAACGCAATAGAATTGGATTGCTTGCTCAGAATTGCTTTTTGGAATGGCCAGGCAACTTCTTTTCTCAATTGGGAACCCTTCAAATAAGTTGTCCATATAAAAACTGGGCTGTCCTCAGCTCCCCTGCTACAACTCCAACTTCCAGTTGGTTAACTGGCACCCCACACTAAGCCATCTAAAAACCTAAAACCCTCACGGCATGGCTGGGCCCCGCCAAGTCTGAACATTAGACATCGGTGTACAAACCCACCTCATGGCGAAAAAAGAAATCAGTAAACAACCCCGCCCAAAAGCTTTGAAGTTTAGACTTGGAGCAAATCAATTCTAGGAGCCCTCTAACATCGAAAGACCTCATGTTGGTTTTCTTTACGTGCCCAAAAGGCTCCCTAGCTACGCAGATGAAGCCAACAGGGCCCTTCCAATACATGTCTCCGAAATCCCTGGAAGCGTGGAAGACTTTCTTTCCTGGAAAGGGACATCAAAGGAAACCTAGTCATTTTCGCTCCGCAACAAGAATGCTTTACCGGGACGTCCGGAACACCTCTAAAGCTCAAAAGACTGACTCGGAATGAGGTTGTGACTGGGAGCCGGTACACCTTCCGTTTGGGCCTAAGGAGAGCCAACGCTTGCGAGTATCGCCTTTCAGAAGAATGAGGTTATTGCCTCTCAGATGGCTAGGAACCATCAAGCGAAGTTTGCAACTCGGAAGAGTCACCTCACTTCCCGAGCTCACCTAAAATGGTCCGAACCCAAAACGTGACGAGAGTTCCTTTTCCGGACAGGGAGTGAGTCATCTCTCTCCAAGTTTTTCTCAGGGTACCGAAACCGTGTCTGGTGGTTTTGGGACTCCAAAGGGGAAGCTTCGACCCAACCAAATCGACGCAACCGCCAACCGCCAACCCGGGCCTTTGCTTGGCCCGTGGTCTCCGAGAGGATAGCGAGCTCCGCGTCGCTGACGCTGTCGTTCGCGGGGATCGCCGGCGCCTTGTCTCAGCTGGTTTCTAGGAGCCTGGACATTTCTGGATGACCTTGTGCGGGGCCAGAAATGTGGGGACAACCAAAGCCCTAGCCTTCCAAAGGCCACTTCGCTATAGCCTTCCTGTTCTTTAATGGTCAAGGCCGTAGAAAGAATTGTCGAGGAAGCATTGAAAGGTTACGAGGTGGGGGTTTGAACAACTGAGGGGTTCCCTTCAAGCGGAAAAGGGACCCCTTGTGCCCTTCGTGGGAAACCAGAAGATTCTTGCAACAATCGAGCATGGTCCCAAAATTCCAAAAAAACACCAGCGACCCAAATTGAACTTGAACAGGACATGGACCCTCAGGACATCAGGTTTTTTGTTTGTCCTGGGGTTTCCCTTCACCCAAAGGCTCGACTAGAAAGAACCTAGAAATTATGATTTCCCCTCAAATTCACTTTACACGCCTACCGAAAAAACCTACGTTCACTGGTGACCATCCCCTTTTCAACACTCAGGGAAAACCGAGCATATGTTTCTTCTCCCATAAATCGAAGGGCCGCAGAATTACTATCCCCAAAGGATCTTCAAGGTGTTTCGTTCTGCAACCCCGAATCCCTGAGCCTGGAGGTTTTTCAGATATCTAGGCCTTTCGTCAAACTCGGAGCCCAACAAAATGGTGGTGGGCCTTCAGTGTTGCTCCCGCGGCCCCAATAAAATTGATTGGAGAAGGGAAACAAAAGGGCACCAAGCAGTTTCTATATGCTCGGAACAACGCTTGGATTTTCCATGAAACCCACCTCAAAAAGGGCTTGCTTGTGTGTGTGAGTTTGCGTTTCTGCTAGATCAAACTGACCAGCCCTCACAAACAGGAACACTCACACACACACACACAGACACCCGCGCGCGCGCATCTGCCTGATCGTTCTGGCCCTGGCTCTCCGCCTCATCTGTACTCGGGTAGAGCCGGCAAGCCACGCCTGCCACCGCCATCAGCGAGGGGGCCACTACGGCCATGGGTGTGCCAATTTTTGAGGGTACCCCTGTCGAAGTGGTTTCCCTTTCATGTCCCGTGAAAACAATCACCAAAAGATACCCTGAAAAAACGACACTCCCAAATGGTCATAGTCAAATTTACACGTTTACCCAAAAGGACATGGACAATTTCCGGCTCGTCCCCCGGTTTTTGCGGAACATTTAGTGACTCTTGCCAATTTCCTTCCCATATGAACCAGAAACTACGGGTAGTTTGGAGAGAACCTCATGTGGTTGATTCCAATCCCGACAGCTATCTCATCCTTTAAACGAGCTTCCCTATCATATGAAGCGGTATGGGAAAGCACCACCCATGACCCATCTTGGTCTTCCGCAACTTTCGGACGTCTTGAGCGAACAATGAAGGACTCAAACTGGTTACTTGTTTGTCGGGCATAAAGCATGAAGGATGTGACGCATTGTGAAACCCGGACCATCTCATATGTAGGTTGATATTCCAACTGGGCTTTCTCCAATAAGAAATCTTGCCTTTACACTGCACAGCCAAAAAGCATGTTGGGATCAGATCCAAATTCAGTGAAGCTTAAACGTATCATATGGCTGTGGCTCAAACAAAAGGGGTAAAACCCCACACACTTTGCAGAGAACACAACACTAATTCAATGGTTCCATGGGTCCTTTCTGAGCCACACCCAAATATCAAAAAAGATCCCAGTAGTTGCCACCCCAACTTAAGCAAGCATTGATGCAGGTCCATGACTAGTCAGTATTGACATCCAAAGCACGTGTCAAAAGAGATCCAAGTTGAGCCGCAAGCACCATTTGGTATCAAAGCGGTCTACCCAAAACCATGAAAATAACTTCAAAAAAAGGAATTCTGGCAAGGGGTCTACCCAAACCCTTGTAAAGAACTCTAAAAAAAAAGGAATTCTGGCAAGGGGTCTGTCTTCTCTTTGCTTTTTCTACCCGAATCGTATTTGATTGTCAGAGCCCTTCACAGCGAAGTGGTTAAACGTGACTCTGCTTGTTAGTCAACCTCAAAATCTTACATCAATATCCGCAATTTAATTATCATATATTCAGATTATGATTCATATTTAGCCAACCTCAAAACATAACCATAACATACTCATCACATCGGCTCACTTAAGGTGTGGACTGCCCAACCAAGTTCAAACTGTGTATTTGCCACTCACATTGCATGGTCTTCCCAAAAAGTTTGCCATGCGCTCAGGGAGTGTGTGCTTTGACCAGCCCTCAAAACCTAAACTCGACCAATCGGAGGAGACCGGTTGCGACGTCACCCGTCACGCCTAAGAAGCCGTTCACATTCGGCGCCGCACCGCACACCACGAGGCGGTCGGTGAGGGGCGGGGTCATCCCATCTGACAAGAAGCGGATCTCGCGGTCGCCGTCCGCGGAGAGATCTGCGCCCATGTACCGCACCTTGCGCACCTGCCACGAGGTTTTTCCAAATGGGCCCCTTTTCAGGAACAATGAGTTGTGGTTTTGTTTTGTGGGCCCCTGGGGTCCTCAAAAATTGTGGTGGTTTTTGGGTTTTTGGCCTAGAAGAGCATGCTCTCCCCACGCCCAGTGGCCTAGAGGCTAAAGGCACCTTTCGTTGGGATTTAAGGAGTATCTTCCAGAATCAGGTCGATCGGAAGCAACCACTGGCGACTTTAAGGGGAAACTAGCATGAAAACTCACCTTCTTTTTGTTATGTTTTTTGTGGGGGAGGATCCAACAGCAAAACGACACAAACCACGGGGCGGGGGTCTCAAACGCCGCCTCTGCCAGCCCGTCGGTCGGGCTCCCAGCCTCCCAGCGACCTCGGCAGCTCGACGTGCTGTGATGATTCGAGTCGCCGATCTGGTGGGAGATGGTGTGCTCAAAGGTGCCTCCGCCGGAAACTGTTCGAGGTCTGCGTTTTATCCTGGGGTCAGATTTTTGGAGGTCAGCCTTTTGGAGAAGTCAGCCACTTCTTTTTTTGAGGTCCTGGATTGACCAACAAGAACAATCAAACTTGCCCACCAAGAGTGGTAGCACGAAAAGTCCGAAGTCCCTTCTCACTCGCGGAGTGGCTTCGGAAAACCGTCCTATCTTTCTGTGGGGAGGTTCCTCTGGCTCGGAGGACCTCGCGTTCTCTGTTAAAGTCGCTGACAAAGCAAGGCTTCCCAGAAAAAAAGAAACAAAGCGGATGCAGCCAAAGGCCAAGCGATAAATTGGTTCAACCCATTTTTGTTTGCATAACCCAAACTACCCCGCTTTCGGTTAAACAAAAAACATTCTCCTTGGATCGGCCTCCCTGTTCCTCATGAAACATTGCCCCCACCCCCAGCGGTCAAAAAGGGCACACTACTTTTTGGCTCATGTTTTCAGAGGGAACCCCAGGAAACACGTCTGTCACCCCTAGAGGAACCTCATCTAAAAGTGGCCCCGAAAGACAGGCCCCCGCATATTTCCCCACAAAGCATCACCACTATAGAAAAAAACTCACCTTGAACGGGCAAAAAAGGCGATGCTGAAAACCACCAAAAAGGGAAACATAGGGACCCCAGAAACATGCCCCCCGTCGTCCCAAGTCCCAGCTGCCATCAACTCGGAGATCCAAGCGTTCGTGGTGTTCGCCACGATCCAATTCAGACTCTCCTTTCCATACAGTCCTCAGCTGAGCTGAGGACATGCAAAATGTCCCAAAAGGTTTTTAAAAAAACGACTCGGATTTCGGTCAGCAAACAAAAGCAACCAAGACGTGCCAAACCTTTCTTTCACATTCGCAGCCAGCTGAATGCGGGCACAAGCATGCTAATTGCATCCCGGACTCGCCAAAGATGTCGCCTCGGCGAGGTCTTGAACATGAGACGTATTTCATGGCTACCCTCGAGGCAATATTCAGAGCGTCTGGGTCAGGCCGTCCGCATTCACACGCCAAAGCCAGGGGCACATTTGGAACATGGGCCCCTTGCCGTGCAAAGTGCTTCACAGGGGATGCCCCTAGCCACGGACCAGAATGGTGGGGAGATGTTCTGAGGACAGGTGCCCTGATATAATTCACCTGTTTAACGTGAACCCCACTGAACAGAGTCTGATCTTAAAGTGACCAACACTGTGATGATTCAATTCCACTAGGGACACACTGTGCATGGTCGAAATCCGCCACACATCAGCTTGGATTGGTGGTTTGCCCCATTCATAGGGCTTCATGCATCTCAGCTGGTCCCGATCGGCGTGGATGTCATTCCCAGTATGAACACCCCTGAGACATGTGGGTGTGTTTCTTTGGGGAATGCGCCATTTTTGCGGTCAAAGGGACACCAAAAGGACAACCCGCCATTTTTCCTTTCTTTCTTTTTTTCGGGGGGGGGGGTCCCCTGAAAAAGACACACCCATGTTCCGTCACAGAGTTGCGGTTGCGCCGAGCCACAGCGACATCGTCTGGGAAGACAGGCTCTAAATATCGCGCCATCGCGCAATACCGCCCATCTAGGCGGGTAGAAAGCTGTACTACGGCCTAGGCAATTGCAACTATTAGAATGGGGTTGTGGGGGCAAATGAAGTCAGACTCACAAGAGAATGTGCAACCATTTAGCGTTTTGCATCCGAGGTCTGTGATTTGAATATCATGCTCTGCGCATAAGCGTCCTTTCGGAAACAAACATGACGCTGGTGAGTAGTAAGAGCCAAACTCAAAGTACCATTTAGTTTCAGCCAAAAGGACGTCGTATGGTTCTGCACTGGCACTGCTGATTCTGATTTCACGCCCTTGCAGCGCTCTGTCGGCCCAAAGCAACTTGCGGCGAGGGTCTTGCATTCAGTTTGCCAAGCAGCTTGTAACTAGCCAGATATGCTGTGTCAACAGTTCTCGCACGAACCGGTTGCTTCCCATCAAAGTTTCGAAACTGTTGGAAGTCTCAAGAGTTATGGAAGCTGAAACAGGTTTCACCCGATGTCCACCAAATTCTGTCCCTAAACCCCACCAGACCGTGCAACCATCAAGGCCACAAGAATGGTGGTTCGATTCACCCCCCTGAAAAGGGTGCCAACTCCCGAGACAAAAACCCACACCCATACATGTCCACCATATCCTTGTTCTTCTCGAACACTGAAAATGCAAGCCGTTGCCTGATATTCCTTGCAAGAGCAGCATTAAGAAGGACCCTGTTTTTGCCGGCTGGAAGACCAAGGTTGTTTAACTGCCATATCTCCACCATATGTCCAAATATCCACTATATATGCATCAAATATACGCACCCCTGCTATATATCCACCATATATGGGGGTTGATCAAAAGGTCCTTTCTATAGGATGGCCATTTGGTTGGACAACCTCCAAAAAGATGATATGTCATGTCTCAAAGATAAAACATTTCCCCGTGATCATTTGGGCCCCGAACGGAACATTCCACATTCTGGCAACTGGAAACACAAGGAACAACTGTAAATTCCATTGATATTACCTCATTTGTACAAGGAACAGCTACAAGTATATCGGTCCATATTGATTCCCCCAATCTCAGGCTAGTTTGCGTCCAGGTCCAAGAGATAACCAGCACATTGAAGCTGATCAACCCCCCATGTCCACCCATCTCCGCTATAGCCTGCAGTTTCAACCCCCCACTAACCGAATGCTTTTGGGACCTAATTTGGAGGATTAAAACCCTTAATTAAATGTAAATCATGACGGTTCTACTCACCCCACCATTCTGGACGCTTCACAAAAAGTCCGAACTTTGCATTTAGCCCTCAAATGGCAACCAAATTCACCCCAAACTACACCCATCCTCCCCAACCACCTCCCAACCTCCCAACCTCCAACGGCTCCGACGGCTCCGACGGCTCGCTGGAGCCGACGTCTGGAGCTTCCGGCTTCGCGCCTGGAGCTGGCGCTCGAAGTCCATGGGCTCCTCCAGGGCGCGCTTGGCCTGGCGCGCGTGCAGCGCCTCCAGCTGCCCCTGGCGCGTTCTCCGCGTCTCGGCGAGCGAGTCGCCAGAGGTGCGAGGTGAGCGAGAGGTGAGGTGACCGGAGGCCAGGGGGGGTATGAGGTGAGCTGAGTGGCTGGGTTCGAAGTTGCACATTGCCCCCTTTGCAATGAGCCCAGAACCCAGGTTCGAGTTCTTTAGGCTCTTTACTCCGATTTAGAGACATCCGACACCTCAAAGAACCCGGTTCCGCCAGGGATTAAGGCCCGGGAGCGGAGATGATTCGAAGATCGCTTCCAATGCGAGAGGCCGTTTACAGAAATGTTGGACTGAGGGTGCCCTCATATAAACCAAGGTAAGCCAGTCGGAGCAGCATGCGAGCACGAAGCAGTTGTCGCGCGCGTTGTGGGATGGTGTGGTGTTCTTCACAACCCTTAGCATAGTAGCAACAAACTCCGTCATTTGGCAGCCCAAACAAGTCTAAAAAGCCAATTCCAACAGTGACAGGGCCCCCAGCCTGGCTCCATCTTTTTTTGGCGCGTTACGGCTCCATCTGGGTGAATTATACTACACCAACCTGAAAAAAGGTGGATGGAGGGATATTTGCCCCATATAAACCATTTGGGGTGACTTCGGTGGTGTGAATTCGGTTGTTTTTCTTCACCCGATCGGTAGATCGCGTCTGTGGGGTCCTCGCCTCCAGCTCGAGCAGCCTCCGGGTGGTGAGCTCCTGCTCTTTCTGCAGCTGGTCCAACTCCGCCTGTCCAGCGCTGTGGGCTTGGACAAGCCAGCAGCATCCATCTGACAAGAACCAGACCCTGAAATCCCAAACCACCAATCCAAACCACCAAGGGGGAACCTGTTTTCGTGTCCTGGAAGAAATAAAAGACACATATTTCCAGTAGTGATAGATTCCCTTTACAAGCGCAATTCAAGGGCAATAACTTACCGAGTATGACAAGATCTCACCGAGTTTGACACGGCCTTCAGAGTTCAATGCCAGAGGCTGGATGAGAACCAACAGAAGGAAAGAACAAATATTCTTAAGCAAATGGAAGGCAGGTCGCCGGCTTTTTTCAACCGGCGACCTGAGCAGAACAAGACTTGGAGGAAGAGCTCCTCTCGAAAATGGGGCACACACACACACACCAAAACAATCAGGGGTGATTTTTCTAGCAGGAGAGTTTCCAGTTCCTCAGTGACCCGGTACACTGGTTGAGAAAGGAACCCATCAACCGAAGCTACTGAACAATGACGGGTTTGTTCAGCCTCCCACCAAATAAGGCCCAAATGTGCCTAAATCATTCTAAGGGTGGTGTGGGGTGACTTAGACAAAGACACCTTTTCCAGAAAGGCTCGTTAGAGGTGCCTTGTTTAGCCGGTACAAGAAGGCCCATGAAAACCACCTTTGGGCCACCTGCACTTCTGAAATGCACTTCTTTGAAGGCTAGCAATCTCAAACTCTGAAATGGTTGTGCCTCAACCCCCCCCCCTTCAAAAAACACACACAAACAAAACATCAAAAGAAAAGAAGAATGACTCAACTTCCATGCGTGGTCTCACGTCCCATCCATTTTTTCCACCTGGGATGCAGTCCGCAGGTCGGCCCGGCGTGCCCAGGTCCCAGACTTCAGCCCGCTCGTCCCCTCGTCCCTTCGCGCCTGCGCCCGCGCGTTCGCCTGGAGCTCCTGTTCATAGGCACTGGCCGGCTGGGAGTAGAGGAAGTATCGCCCGTGGAAGCCGCCTGCGGCTAGGGCGCCGGGTTGCGGATCGAGGTGCCGTGGCTTGAAGGCGATGGCTTGGTGAGAATTTTTCCGAGCACCAAAACCAATGGAAGTTCTGGGCCCAAGATGTGGCAAACAAGAATACACCTTGGTTGCTGGCGTGCTGCTGTTGACCCCTCTGCGAAAAAAGTGGGGGCAACTTGCTATGGCTTCAATTCGGAAAACCAACTTGAGTTCAACCCAAAAGTTGATCCGTTAGCCAATAATAGCAATCAAGAATAGGGCAAAGCCCCGAGCACTACCTCCAATTCAATCAGGAATTGGAATGGGTGAGGATTTGCTGAATCTGACCGCCAGGTCCAACCAACTCAATTTACCCTCCTGTCCACGTTGCCATGGAACGTGGGGGTCCATTTTAATGGGGAAATGGGCGAAACCAGGATCTCGAAACGTCAGCTTCCATGGCAAAGTGGACAAGGCAGCTCACAACACTCAATGGCAAGCTCTGTTGTCTGGTCTTTGGACCACCGATGCCACGAATCGTCCTTGACCCTGTGACCTCATGGTGGCCATGTTGGGGATTTATGTCCATCAGCCATTTAGGAGAATAATCCGAAATAAACGTCATGGCCATATTCATTACATTTCGCTTGCTGAGTGGACTGGCCAAAAAAAGTCCAAACTTGCTTGCCACTAAAACGGTCTTCCCCAAGAAGTTTCAAGTCCATGTACTCAGGAGCGAGATATATGTTTGTCTGAGTGAGTTTGTTGCGGTGCGTTGTTTTCATACGTTACATCAGTGAGGATGAGAAGAATGATGAATCCCCAAATACAAATGTGTTGCGTCTCTCCCAAAGAAGAACATATACTTAAAACACCGGTTTTGCTGTTGATTTCCCTTAAGGCCACAAAGAAAGGTTGGCACGCAAAAAGGGCGCTTTCATCCAAGGGGCAGAAGGGGATGCAGCAGGGCGGCACCACCACATCACCCAGGTCTCGGCTGGTGTCGTCCTCCCTGCGCAAGCGCAAATCAATGGTTTTTGGGGGCTACCGGTTTTGGGGGCTCCAAAAGGGTGTGTGTCAAAATCGGAGCCAACCCATGTGGATGCACTGTTGGTTTCCCTTCAAAGCAAGCTGAAAGGCGTACCCTCAAACAACACACACACAAAAGGACACGTGTAGATGATTTGCTTCCACATGGGTGTCTAACCTTTCAAAAGACAGCCACCCAAAATGCAATTCGGATGGAATGTGGGGCAACTCCCAACTTCTCCAACCAGCAGTCGATGAAGACCTGTTGCGTCACCTGAAGGGAACCAATGCCGACTCGCTACCCTTGTGGCTGGCTCATTGCGTGCCCTGCTTTTTTTTTGTTGGAATCGCACCGCCACAATTTGTTGAACTTTGGGTTTCCCAAACAAAAAACAATACCAGCCCCCCAAAAAGCACCCACTCAAAAAAGACATACCGTGCCCACTAACATGGAATCCACCAGAGGGCCCCTTTTACAGGAAAATATGCAAAACCAGGACCGCTCGGTCTGGCTTTCTTGGACAGGAATTGGTGGTTTGCTTTTGGGCTTCTTTGCACTTGCAAACAACAATGACAAAGGTCAGAAACTCATGGACCATTGAGGTTCCGGGAAAAAGACGATAATCAAACAAACAAAACTGAACACTCAATAAAACAACAAACAAAATAATTAAGCGGGAAAACACACACACACACACACAAACAAACAAACAACAAAAAAACTCTGCCGGACGCTGGGAGCCCCCACTTCACCAAGAGACGATCGCTGGCTTCCCGAGTTGGAGCTGCATC